ACAGGAAACATGGCAAGGGGAAACTTCCACTTTTATCAGACCAAGAGAAATAGACAGAGATACAACACTGGAGATTAATATTAAAGCCAAAAATAAAGAGATGGCATGCAAAGGAAATGACTGCAGATTRTGGGGAATTCTTTCAAAGAGATGTTAAAAAGAATGAGTGAAACTCCAATCTCTCACACATATACTGTGGTCTTATTTCATTTCCCAGGCATTTGAAAAGACAACATTCCTTGCATCCTGCCAGCAWGCCAGCTCAGATGTAGAGGAACTGTTCTGCTCCACTGAGCTTGCACTGTGTGTTGTAGGACTAYTCACAGTCCTGCTTGGCACATTATGACTGCTGTGGTTTAATTTTCACCCTACATTCCAAAAAGGGCTACTGTGTTCATTGTCAAAGTTTACTATTACTCTCTAAGAGCTACTCTGATATTATCCTTATGAAGTTCAGGCTAGTGGGAATTGTGTATGGCCAGGTTATGCRCAAGGCTTTTAGAAAAATTCCATCCGCTTCACCAGGTTTGCAAATCAAGGAAATGTCTTAYAAGGTGAAGAAGCCAAATCTTAGATGACATCAAATATTCATTACTACAACAATTCTCCCTTCTGATCATCACCCAAGGCCTCATTTTGTTACACAGTATATGAACAGAATKAAGAATTTCTTCTCTACAGAGTTTACAGTTTAAAGACAAGAGACAAATTAATAGACCTGGATATACCTGTTTCCAAAGCTGACTGTTATTCCTAAGTGACATTTCTTGCAGGAGGTATCCTTTAACTAATCTTCACCAAATTCTTCCACGGAAAGCATGGCCCAACCCACTGCATCTCTGAAGGAAATATTTTCCATGTCATCCTTAATCAATGGTTATCACTATCCGAGTATATTAGAGGTTGATCTGAGAGTGGCTTTTAATGGGAGTTGCACTCCTCATCAGCATTAGCAGTCTTCAATTTTACATTTCTTGCCACTAAGAAATCATCCAAAAGTMACCCTTTGTCAGTATTCAGAGGAGGGAGGAAAGATAATAATGGTTTTGCAAAATTCTGTTTCTTAGGGACCAACTCGCCAAAGCCATGGAAACTTCACTGACTTTTTTAATGAAAAAGGGATTGGTTCCTGTATTAATTCAGAACTGAAGTAGGATTTCCCCTTTCCCTCCAGTTTCCTGAGAATAACRTATCAGTGAAATGACATCTTGTCTCACACACACACATCAGCAAAAGCATCCAGGAATTCCCATTCAAGGTGAGCAAACAGTTAATTCTAACAGCACCTCTTGGCATAGACAAGAGTCTTCTTAATTCGCTCCCATTTTTTGGGAAGACTTTTCTTCAGCACTATAATAAGTCTGTTTTATAACGAGACTTGAACAAATAAGACACACTGGATTTCGTCCAGCTTCTCCTGGCCTTGAAACTTGTCTCTTCTTCTACAGTTTCACTGGCCTTATGAATGATTGTAGAGGAATCTGGGAGGCTGGAGGTCCTCCTCGAGCTCTGCTGGGAAACAGTCCTGAGTATCCAGCACTGGAGCTGAGATGTGAGAGCAGCTCCCAAATCAGCCATGTATAGCAATTACTGATCTGACACTTGGCAAGTCTCAAATACAAGAGCAAAGCTTATTTACAGCACTGCTTTTGTGTTTGGGATGCCAGTTACAAGCCTGAAAAATTGCACAGCCAGGGTCACAATAAATGACCATTTTTCAAGTTAACTGCCTGGTACTTCAGATAAACAAAGAGATTTGGGCTTCWATTCCAGTAAAGCTCTCTTACTGCCAATAACATCTCAGTTTCCTGGCATCTGGCAGCCATCAGCAATACTGTCCCAGCTAAAAAGCTCCAGAAASCAAAGCACCCTGGCACCACAATTTAGATGGGCTATGTGGGACAGTTATTTAAACAGTGCTCACATAAACCAGGAGATGAAGGGCAGTGAGAACAGAAGTGCTGAGCACTCACTGCCCATTACCTTGAACACAGAGTACTCAGGGAACTGGAATAATGTTTCATTAGCAGGACTTTGCCAGTTAATTAAACTGATCTAATCAACATATCTGCATTGCTGTAAGTGTACCAGTTAACTTTCATCACTGTAGGGAATCAAAGATATTATACTGATATGGAATTACACATGTGGAATTGTGCTCACTTCCCCTTGAAACAGTGGCACAGGCRTATCCTGGAGCTTGGACTCACAGAYAGAAMTGCAAATGCAGGGAGCAGCAGATGAAATGCAGGAATTRATACCCAAAACAAGGCAAAATTCCTTTCAGTTTACTGGAGGAATCCTTTTTCTACAAGGCTCTTCTGAAAAAAATAGAATTTACTGATAATATAGTTATTCTAGAAAAGGAGGTATTTTGATGGTTTTCTTTGACATAAATAGGAGGTGAATCAGTTTTATGACCACTATAGATTAATGTTGCTAATTGAGAAACTGTTCTGCTCCAGTATGAACATATATATGTAGATCTATAAATAAAAGATTTTTATACAAACTCCTCTGGCTCTCCACTTATTCTGGCTCTCCAGTCCTAACAAATAGAAAGTTACTGTTGTTTTGTTTTGTTTTGAAATTTAGTCAGTGAAAGTAGTGATTCAAATTACACCTTGGAAATAAGTTCACCAACTGTGTTATTTTTAGTCATCTCCAAATCTGCCATGCTGGTTAAATACTTGGTCTCACAACACAGTAGACAAAACTTGTGAACAGCAGTAAACCCCATTCAACTGCTTTCAGCTGGAATAGAAGACAGTCAAGGGTCAGTCTTCCCATTACTTATAAATAAAAACTGCATGCTATCTTTACTACTCGTGCAACAATGAAAAAATAATCTTATTGTTTGGAATAGCACTTGGTCCCCAAGGAAAAAATTCCTTTTCAACTAAACAGTTTTTTGTTTTGAATCTCTGCTAGGCAGGGAAACCAAATACAGACCTTGGTTTCTCCCCCTTCCCATGAGCTCTTTCACCATCTGTACATGATCATGGCCCAGCCTTTCTTTCCACCCCTCTGCAAAAGATTCCTCCCAAACATATCTCACCATGGGAACACATGGCTGCTGGGCATGGTGCTGGGGAACACAGGGTTGGATTAAATGTGACATGAAGCCACACCCCAGGACTCATCCAGTACCTGATGTGGAAGGAGRAGTTGGGAAACTACAGAGAGAGGGGGATAAAACTGGATAAAACAAATTGCAAGGCTTGTAGTAGGTCTCTGTTACTCCCAAAAGTGCCCGCTGTTCACGGCAGTCCTGGCAACACAGCAGGTTCCAGAACAGCAAGCCCTTGCTTGAAGCAGCAGTTCAGTCCCATCTGAGTATGGCACTGTCATATAACAGGCATTATAGAGTTTACAACAAAAAGATCTTTTAAAAACATCAGTAACAAGACATATCACTCTCTTGATACCTGGTGATGTTGGTTCAGCTCCGGTAGATGTCCTGCCCCAGGGGGTTATGGGAAGCCAACCTGCTTTGCATGGAAGAAGGTCAGTTCTTGATGCTGCAAGAATGATTTTTTGCTGGCAATGTGACTGATGGGGTGACTCAGGCCTGCCTCATCCTTGTGAGCAGAACTGAAAATCTCTTGTCACTCCATAGCTCTCCTTGTAGTTTCCCCTCTTCAACTTTCTCTCAAAAAAAAAAAAAAAAAAAAGAAGGAAAATGTTCTCCCAGCCTCTCCATCAGCTCTGGTCAGGGATATCTCAAGGACTTCAGTGCAAATAAATGATCTTGATGTTTTCTCCTCAGCCCCCACCCTCCCACAGTCACTCCTGCGTGGGGACCACTGTAGGTACAGTCTCCTACATTTCCTGGCTCACATTTTCAGCACACCTGGTAGCAGGAAACTCTCAGGTGCCTCTTGACAGCCATTGGTCACTGGCCCATATCCCTTATAGAGGATATGGAACAGAACTTGCAGGTGGCTGTGCCCTCCAGGCTGGCCCAGCTTCGGACAAGGGTCTTGTTTGCTATGATTAAGATCTCTGCTACTTTTCAGGAAATCCTCAAAGAGCAGAGGCCTAAAAACTTCACTTCATGAAGAGAAACATGACCATGGCATCAGCCTTAAACAGAAGGAGAAGTGAGATGGGAATGATGATACCGGGTTTCAAGAGAGAATCGAGGCACCTGACTGAGACTTGGTTCCAGCAGGGAGTGAGATGTGCCAACTCCCTGAAATCTCTGCCATTCCCAATTTCCCAAGCACATCACATGCAAAAGTTTAGCTCTCCCATCACACCATGCTCTACACAAACAGCCTTTGTGTTCAGAGGAGGAGCCTCTGCCTGGCAGGAGCTGMAATCGCCTGTGGCAGATGTTGAAATCATTCCCTGTGCGGAATGCCATGGCGGACGGGCACAGGATCTCCATGCCTTGTTGCAAAGAGCTTTAAGAGATCCGAGGCTGAGGGAGCCACMCTAGTATATTGTTTTCCAAATTGCAAGAAAGAATGCCTTGAGGAGAGCATGCATGTTAATCTTCCATGCATATCACAGAGATAATTTTAAGTAATCCAGGATACAGGATCTACCTAGTTTATAAAATGTTCCATTTTGTTGGCCTGCAGAAAACAGGCATTAATTAATCAAAATGTAAAATCTGACAGCTTTTTAGAAAACCTCTTGTCCGAGTTTCAGCATCACAGCATTTAAATATATCATTATGTGCTTTTTAAAAGCCTGATTGGAAAAATTACATCATTTTGGACTTTCTCAACATTTGGTGCGTCAGCTCCCAGTGTCTAAGAGCCCCATAAATAGATGTTGGACCACCTCAATACAATTCATGTCTGCAGATTTTCCATAACAGACTTCACTCTATTATTCAAATAAATTGCAAGTGGATCTTTTCCTGGGAACAAGGGTTATGCAACGCRCAGCACAGGAGGCTCAAGAAAAACAGTATAAAGTCAAACATGAGCTGCAAACACTTACAGAGCAGCAGAGTCTGTTTATATTTATGTTGTGTTTCTGTTTCATTCTCACTTAACCGCTGCCAGCTCCTTTTGCCTCTTTTGATCTACCAGACTCTTCTCTCTCACATCTTGGTACACCAGGAGCGTGGCCAAGAAGCTGAACACCAATTTGCCAACTKATTGACAATAAAAACATAATTGCAGCATGATCAAAACTTTAATATCCTTATCCTTATGCTGCTAGGAACTATTGTTCCAAATTAAAATTAATAACCCCTACAGTACTGATGAGATTTTGTCAAAATCCACTAWATTCTGGGATCTGACAGAAAACCAAATATTTAGTTTCAGGTCAGAGATGTAACACGACTTCAATACACACAGACACAGATACCCCTATAAGTATCTAGACCTTATTTGTGGATGAATTTCATTATGTGTGCTGCCAGCCATGAGCATTTTAATGAGAAAGTTCTTGAATGCAAGGATCCACTTTAGCATCACCATTTCCATTCATTTTCCATTCTATTTTCACCAGACTGGTGAGACATTTCACTTTCAGTGTGACTCAGAATGCCAAGTTCAGAAAAAAAGTATCTCCATAGCTACACACCTCTTTCTTGCAATGAAGTGCCAGTTCTCCAGTGCCCAGCTTTCAAACTGTCAGTTCTGTAACACAGCAAAAATGCCTTGCCTCAACCATCGTGATGGATTCGTTTCGTTGTTAGCCGACATCTAAAACTTGGAACATTTTCCTCTCTGCAAGGATAGCTGAAAGACCCCAAGGAAATAATCTAAAAATCCAGCTGATGATGTAAAAAAAAATTGTGTGTAGAAATGCATCCAGTCTATAGTACCAAAAGGAAGGATTCAGCCTGAATTGGTCAAAACCAGAGAAATTCTAGAGGGTATATATTGGAAATAGGATATATATGGACCATAAAAATATACAAAAATAGAATCTATTCATACAATCTCTCAGTATAAAATGTAACACTCACATTATTTCAAGTTTAACTCTTAGGTTTACAGTGTACAGAAATTAGGAACAGGATATTAATTAAGAAATAATTACACTACATTCTTTCATTTAACACAAGTACTGCAATGTTATGTAARAAATCTCTACCTTTCTTTAAACGACATTAAGAGACATCCATACAGACAATGCCATTAGCTAGAAAGGGAGGGCTGGGGTTAGAGATAAGCCCACAAATTATTTTTGTTATTTAGTTCCCATTTATAGAAATCAGAAATTACCTTGTGGCTGTCTCTCATTCTGACTTCCAATGTTACATTCTAAAGTCACAATCACAYCTCAGTGTTTGCTTTATAAAAACATGTAGGTTGCACCTGGACTTCCCCCACTGACCCGTGGACTTAAAAATCCTGAMAGTCCTATAAAAACATAAATTCACTTGACACATGTGAGTTCAAGAGTTGATTCCTTTGGGGGCCTGTGATAATTTCAGTGTCTGTTTGAAGCACCAGCAGCACCAGGTCCAGAGCTCTCCTCCATGCCTCTGTCTTGGCTGCAACATTATCAAAAACCTTTAAAGTCTTGCCATGATCAGGAAAGGGATCAGAGCCATCCCCCAGCACTCCACCTCTCCTAAACTCTTCCAAAACATAAGCTGAGGGAGAGGCACAGGCTGCTGCTTTCTGGAGGTGATGATCCACTGAGGCACCTGCTTCCAACTCTGACCCAGCCTTTGCAGTGTTACACAGCACCACGGAGAGGTACCGCTTCCAGCCACTTGCCAGTGCTTGGAGCACRATGGATTTATACTCTGCCAGCCAGGGACTGGGAAGCTCTCTCACAGCTTTGTCGTTTCCCAGTCTCTSGGGCTGCTCTGCAAGCACTCGGATRTGASTGAGGCACAAGAGCTCCACTGCACCGCCCCCAGGGAAAACTTTCCCATCCTTTAGAGCGTGGTGGAGTCGATACARCAAAGTCCAGAACTGGTCTTCGAGGAGCTGCACCCTGGAAGGCAGGGCAGTGGTGAGCACGGCCGTGAGCAGGGGGATGCCTCCCGCGCCGAGCCGCACCGGCACCAGCTCTCCCAGATCCATCGCGCGCCCATCGCTGGCCTTCCACAGCTCTGCCCAGGCCCCGTTCCCCACACAGGAAGCGTTCAGTTGGCTCAGGTATGTCACTGCCTGGGCACCCGTGACCTGCCCAAAGGCATGTAGAACATCCCGAGCCACACAACCAATTACCAGTATCCTGCTGGCAATGCATCCTTCCATKAAGTTTTCACACACGTTTCCTTTGACCAAAACCACGTTTACTTCAAAGCTCATCAGAAGATCCAACATTCTGCTCAGCCACGTGTCTCCTGCTCTGCTTTCCTGTGGATTGGGATGCTCCAATATGGTCCTTACATTACGGGGTCTATTAAAACCTAAGTGGCGATACTGCTCCGTGAGGTCRCCATCCATCAGCAGAATCCGAAGGGATTTGTCTGCAAAGTGTTTGATGACTGTGGCTTGCTCTGGTGACACTAAYGTGACAAAGCCTGGGGAGACACAGGAATAGCTCTCAGGCAGGCCCAGCAAGCAGCACGTCACAATCTCTGCGATGTTAAGCTGGGAAGAGCCACTGCATTCTGCTCTCTCTTGCTGATAAGCAGCAATGCTTTGTAGCAGTTTCATGCTGGTCTGATTTCCATGGCTCAGAGCCAYTGCCAGGTGTCCTAAACCACAACATCCACATGGATCTGAAAGGTATCCCTGAAAGTTATCTTGTTGACTTGAAAAATGGCTTTTCCCCAGAGGGCTGAAGTATCTGCTGTGGGTTAACTTTTTCGTGATACAGCTGGATGCAGTAACACCACTTCCAGACAGCACAGATGAACTTTTGTCACCCGCTGCTTTGACAAGAGAAGCCACTGAACCAAAGCCAGCCAAGGGTGAAACCAGGCACTTGTTAAAATGACAATCATCTCCTTGATGGGAACGAGAATTTATTGGAATTACTTCTTCTGCTGAAGAAATCTCTCTCTGAAAACACAGCAAATTCTGAGGATTCCTGAGATGGTCACATCCAACTTGGCAAGCTTTGCTTTCAAAAGCATTTGGCCTAACTCTGCTAGAACACAGCTCTTTCTTTACATCATGTATTGGTATTTGAAGACACTGGACTCTCTCACAGCAAGAGTTCAACCCCTCAGACATCACAGACACTATTGCCGGAACAGGAACGTTCTGCTGGAGGCACTCCATCACAGCATTGCTCCACGCTCCAACGAGGAACAACAGGGTACTCAYCCCAGTCTTAAATTCCTTGTTCTGAGCCTGAATGGTTTCATTAAGAAGCTGTCCAGCAGCACTTGTCAAATCCAAACTTTCAATCAGTCTAACAGCAGAACAAATCAATGTGCTCTGGTTGGTGCTTTCATCCACAATGAATTTATGTGATTTCATTGGCCCCAAGAATGTTCTCCCAGGAGATGCTAAGGATGAGAGCTGCTGGAGTCCAATGTGTCTCCTGGTATTCACATCCTTGAAAGCCATGGGCAGCRGGCAGCATCTGTGAACAGACCACAGATTACTACCCCATCCTCACAGCAAGCCAGAGTACAAATCACCAAAAAATTAACTTATTCTAACCCTCATACAGCTCTCCTCTTCATCCTGTGCACTTATTATGAGCATCAATGCTCACAGGTGCTGAAACAGTGCACTGTTAAAATACTATGGAATTGTTTCTGGGCGGCTGATAGTAAAGAGCTGTTAATTCCCATGGTTTCTTACACTTCCAGCAGTACAGGCTGTGTGGAACTACCACCTCCCTGCTGATCTGCTATCTGGAATTTCAGTTATTTGCCTTGCTTAGGGCAAAAGTTCATTAGAGCAGAACAGACAAATTACACGCAAAACTCAAGAGCTCAGTGCAGAACTTGGTAACAATAGTCATGTCACTGACTTTAACCTTCAAATCTGGAAAAACATATTTTATTCCAATACTATTTAGTCCAATCAGCATGCATGAATACTTCATTAAGTGAAATAAAAGCAATGCCACTTCATACCTGACGAACTGCCAAGACTTTAAAGTTTTGACCAATTATTCATTCTTAATATATCAAAAAGAAATCTTTCCCTCAAAATCTCTTCCACACCATGGTCCCGTGGCTGACCATGTGGATTAAAATAAAGCTTCCTTTTAGAAATACAAAGCATACACACCAAAAATTGAGAACCCTGAGCCTTGTACCTTTTATGCTCAGATTCAAATAATAGAAACACAGCATGGTTTGGGTGGGAAGGGACCTTAAAGATAATTTTGTTCCACACACACCGCCCCCTCCCCACCATGGGCAAGGACATCTTCCACTATCCCGGGCTGATCAGAGCCACATCCAGCCTGGCCTTGAACACTTCCAGGGATGGGGCAGCCACAGCTTCTCTGGGCAATCTGTTCCAATCCCTCATCACCCTCACAATAAAGACTTTCTTCGTAATATCCAATCTAAATCTACTGTCTGTCGGTTTGAATCCATTCCCCTTTGTCCTGTCACTACATGCCCTTGTAAATAGTCTTGCTCCATCTTTTCTGTAAGTTCCCCTCAGGCACTGGAATTTATTAACGACATCTTTTATTCCGGACCCCTAGAAGGCCCGTTTGCGTAGCTATTCCAAATCCAAATCGCTCTTTGTTTCCCAACCCACAAAACGAAAGCCCACTCGTAGTATTCCTAGGGAGAGGACGCGCTCCCCGGCCCGCCGGCCCCACACGCCCGAGGGGGAAGCCGCCTGGAGCGGACACACCGGAACTGAGCTGGCGGCGGTCTGGCCGCTTCCTGCGTGCCGGGGGGTGCCGGGCCGGCCGGTGCGGGYGTCTCACCGGAGGGGCCGCGTTCCCGGCGCTGCCGCCGCTTCCCTGGACACGGAGTTGCCTGGACACGGGACCGCCGCTCCCTCAGGCGCCCCGCGCGCGAGCCCGCCCACCCGCTCGCGCACCTGTCAATCACGGGCAAGCAGCGCCGCTATTGGCCAGCGCCGTGAGGGGGCGGGCTCGCGGGCTCGTTCCGCGCGCTCACTGGCCGGCCGGGCGGCGCGTGTGGGTGCGCGCGGCGGCGCGGAGCGTCCCGTCCCGTCCCGTCCCGTCCCGTCCCGTTCGGTGCGGTCCCAGCCCGGAGCGGCATTCCCGGCCGGATGGTGAGCGCGCCCTCCCCGCCGCGGGCTCCCTTCCCACCGCCGCCTCCCCCGAGCCTCTCCGCCCTCTCCCGCCGACAGCAGGACTTGTGCAAASCCCCTGGAGGTTCCACCTTTTCCCAGGCCGTAGCTGCTGCCCGGTTATCTCGCACAACGCATCCCGGAGAGCCCCCCTCCAACGGGAAAAACACGCCCRGAAAAATACCGGGATTCGCAAAATACGTCTCGGCAGGCCGGAGGGAACATGCCTGGTTCCTCTTGGCACAGCTCACGTATCTCCGCGTCGTTCGGGCCCCGGCAGCGTTGTTGGAATGGCACCGAGCAGGCCGGGAGGTGGAACCTGAAAGGGATTTGCACAACTCAGATGTGAAATAAATGGAACAATAAGTCTCGGTAGTCAGGTAAAGGTCTGGTGTGCCTTTTTTCCTGAGACTCATATAAAGAGTAAAAATCTGATGCCTGTGTTAATGAAAGGGAAAAGTCAGAGGTGAGCCAGATAAATGGCTTTGCAATTCAACCARGGAGGGACAAATCACGTTGAAAAAYGAAATTTCACTTCCAAATRCAAGAAAATGGAATCTGTGTTACATATTGGGTACTTGAAAGAGAGAGATCCCAGCCAAAAAAATTGTAATGATGCAGCAGAGGCAAGAGTAGTCAGCAGTAGCTAGGTAACAAATTCCTTGTTTTGTGTGTTTTATTTATTTACTTTTATAAAGCCTACCCATTTAAAACTGGAGGTGGGAGGGACTTGCCTTCATGATTCTGTGCAGATTGGAGACTGAAGGACTAAAATCCATCTGCTGCCGATTTGAAAACAAAACTGTTCTTGAGGAAAGCTTCTTTCCTGCTTTMTAGATGGGGGAACACTGTGTACTGCACTGGCTTACACCAGAAGCAAGAAAGGACTCAGAAGTGTCCTGGATAATGATGCACAAGGCAAATGGCACAAAGTGCAGAGGGTCTTGGTCAACTCAGTGAGGTGTTCRTTTTCAGGCTGCCCACCTGTTCTTCTGGCATTACTCCTTTAATGRATGATCTTTTTGTTTAAAGCAGAAAACATGAAGCCCAAATGTCCATTCCCCAGGAACAAAGTCTTAGCTTGTTTTCTTTCTAGAATAACCTAAGAAAATGAGCATAGAGACCCCGTGTCTACCACTTGCAGCAAGGAATTTCTCTTGCCTTTGCTACAGCTTTAATGTTATTTATAATTTACTGTATTTTAAATTCTCYCTGGAATGGGCTGTTTCTTATCTGTTCTCTCCCTCACTTTCTAAAGGCATCCAACTATAGAAAACCTGGCTTAAGTACAGCCCAGCGGAAGAAAAGTGGCTTGAAACCTGAACTTACAGAAGAGCAAAAGCAGGAGATCAGAGAAGCTTTTGATTTGTTTGACACTGATGGATCTGGAAGCATCGACATAAAAGAACTGAAGGTTTTCAAACCTTTTTTTTTTCTTCTTTGGATGAAAATACCTTTGATCTCAAAATTGTAGCTGCTTTTTCTGTTTGTCCATCCCTATTTATTTTAAAGTAGATTTGGAGTACAAAGAAGAGGAATGGATTTCTGTTATGACTGAATTTGGGGTGCACTCTGCATATAATGCTTCACAGCAGACAGGCTTTTCTACGATGTGGATATTTAGGTCTGATGGTTTTGTTAGCTGAGCATTAGAGAAACTACACAGTTTCAGTTTTCATGGCTAAGTGGCTCTTCCTGGGAAGTGGAGTTTTTTTTTGTGCTGGGATGAGTATCAGAATATAAATTTTTTTTTCACCTGAGAACTAAATGCAGATTTTACAAACATTCAGGAAAGTTACAACCATGTTTGCATATATGTAATGCAAAAATTACCTGGTTTTTAATTTAAAAAAGAACAAAATGGGGATCATAGTTGCATTTCAGTAACAATTCAGGCAGTTTGCATGCRCTTGCATGCACATAGTAGTACAAGGAGGAAGATGATTCTCAGTTGTCTCCCTCTGTTATGTGTCTGATCTTTTTGTAAGCATGAACCCTGTTATTTGTCTCCTTTACCTAGATTTCTCACACTCTGCCTCAATTTCTATATATGTAACCTGAAGGCATGAGTTATCTCTGCCTAATATTAGCTATAAATTTCCACGACACCATATAGCAAAAACATCTTAAGAATATCAAATCTATACTATTTTTGTTCAGCAAGATGAAAGAAGCTGGTTGAAGACACCAAGGTGTTTTTGTGGCAATGAGTTRTCACTACAGTTCTGGACAAGGAAATGAAACAAGTATTAGCTGAGCTCTTACACCAAAATTCTGATAGCCTTTAAACAGAATTGCTTTTGCTATTTTGGCTCAGGTTGCGATGCGTGCCTTAGGCTTTGAGCCAAAGAAGGAAGAGATTAAGAAGATGATAGCAGACATTGACAAGGAAGGAAGTGGCACCATCGACTTTGAAGACTTTTTGGCTATGATGACACAAAAAATGGTAGGAATTCTTAGTAGAAATTCTTGTGGCAGCTTAAGAAAAAGGAACATCTCAGTGCCAGGAGTTTGCTGATTAACGTATGCTCTACTCTTGGTTTAGAGCGAAAAGGATTCAAAAGAAGAAATCCTGAAAGCTTTCAGATTATTTGATGATGATGGGACAGGAAAAATTTCATTCAAAAACTTGAAAAGGGTTGCCAAGGAGCTGGGAGAAAATTTAACAGATGAAGAACTTCAGGTAAGTTCTGGTTTTCCAGAGCTTTTCTAACAGGCACAGACCAATCCTATAGCTCCTAAGGATTGGGTGGAAATTTAGGTCTATACTGAAAGTGCTGAGAGATCAGAAGTATRAAGAGCAGTCAAATACATAGTTATGTTTTATTATTGTCTTGATGAGTGGAATATCTTGTGTTTAGAGTCCAGTGCCTGACCAAATGTCCAATGTGTTTTATAGGAAATGATTGATGAAGCTGATCGAGATGGAGATGGGGAAGTAAATGAGCAAGAATTTTTGAGAATCATGAAGAAAACTAGCTTATACTAATATCTGTTGCCTTGCTATATAGCTGGTCCAAAAGACAACCYGGAAAAGGTTTAAAAACTGCGCTTGTGCCTCCTAAATATTTTCTGCCATGTAAAGAAAGTCTGAAAGGACAGATTTTCTGGTTCATTCTTCTTTTTCATCGAAGATAATTGGGGAAGGAGGGCTGCAGTACCCAAAACTGCCAAAATGAGATACTGTAAAAGTCAAAAGGAAGAATGAACTGAGCCTGTAAGGCAGGATCCCTTCCACTCCACCATAACAACTTCCCTGATTGCCATTTTGGATAAAAACAGCTGTGTTTTACTATTTAACAAGATATTTCACTTGAGATGTGAAGATTCCCACTGCTGCTTGACTTTCCTAAGTCTAGAGATAGAAGGGACAAGCACAGTATTTTTTATTCCTTTGAAGGTTTTATAGGTTATCTTTTGATATTTGTCTCCTGATGTTCATTTTCATGAAAGATTCTAAAATGAATTGCATATTTGTCTGTATTTCTATATGAAACGCTGTTTTTCCTATGGCAAGTTGTTATTAGATTTAATGGGAAGCAAACGTAGATTTGGTTCTTCCTTTGGAGCTGTGTGCCATCCATAGATGTTCTTGTGTTTATCTGATCACCTGAAACCTGAATGAAACTTGAATGTAACCTGCTTGGGTGACCAAAGTTTATTRTATAACCAGGCAACACCTTGTGCCATTGTTCTTACTCCCCAGATATTACAGAGCTGCTGTTACTCCAGGGTTTCAGGTACCTAAAAAGTTCATTTCCGTGGTGCACTAGAGTAAAWTTTGTCTTGTTGACAGTTACATTGTAGAGAGGATTTGTATCTGAAGTAGCTCACTATGAGTATCTGTGGAACACTGAATGTATTTAGATCCATACAATCCAAATTCATTTCACACATCACAGATTTTGGGGTGKTTTTTTTAGGAATACCTTCATTTTCTTYAGTATTTCTTGCATATACTGGCAATGTAGGACTTACTGGAGTTTCTTTCTGAATTAAGGTTATAAAGCAGTGACACACAACCTGGTATCTGATTATGTGGTTCTGCAGGAGGGTTTATCCTGTATAGACAATCAGCTTCAAAACTTTCAAAGCCTGTAAAGCTCCAGAGACCCGAGAAGTCTGCTATTATTAACATAGTCAGTGGCAGTAGATGTAAACTGTAGTACTGTAAGTGTTTTAAAATGTCTTAACTTTGTATAAGTGTGAAATAAAACTGTTTTGCAAGTTAAAGAGTTTTCGTGCTTATTGTGTATTTTTTTTAAATTATTTTAAAGTCTGAGAGGGTTCACCAAGTACGTTTTCACTTTCATTTATCTCTTCTTTCTAAGTGAGGAATTCTTAGGTGCAGGAGTCTGTCACGTAATTCCTCTTCCACTGTGCTGATTAAAAGTTTCTAGTACTAACCACATACATTCAGAAAGGGAAATTTGAAGTTCTAGTCGATTATGGGGAATCCCAGAGTCACTCCTATTAAGTGACTGTACTTTTTGTTTATGCTGTCACAGGAAGAGATTGATGACTGTGGTTTATCTATGATGCATGTTACTTCTCTCTTCCTGTTCTAATCCCATTACCTGCCCTGAAGGTAGGAAAAAGCCACACAATCATACCTGCCATGTGTACTACAATGGTGAAATGTAATTTGTGGTTTGCCCACTAATCTCTGAAGTCTGGAATGTCAAAYAGTGTCTGAATTAACACAAAATTTGCAAGTGTTAACAGAACAAGTGTCTCATGGTGCTTTAGTGTGCAGGAAACTGAGAGTGAACTCCATCCTTTACTTTCCCCTTCCCCTTCATGCTGACATGGAGAGTGGGTCCTTACCTGGCATCTGCAGATTCCCCTCGGATGGCTGCAATTCAGACACTGCATTCATTGTGTGCACCCAGCTGAGATCCTGCACCAGCARAGTCTGGTTTTCACTCTGAGTGTTCGTTCTAGGCAGATACTGCACAGAAAAGAAAGTGGAACTGCACTTCGTGTCTGGCAAACACCTAAATATCAAAGCATTGTTAAGGGCAACAAATAATGCTGCAAATATTGCAAATATTGATAATACTCAAAATGACTTGTAATGAAATATGTTTTGAAATTAAAAAGTACCAGGCTTTTAATAAAGCACAAAATAGTTCAAGAAAAAAAAATTGCTTACAATTTATATCCAAAAATATGACAATTGCATGGCAATTTCAATATCCCACATGCAGCTTCTAAGTTATCATCTCTCAGACCCACAGTTCAGTCCCACAATCCTGCCAGTCTTACAACAAGGCAAATCCTCAGTTGGCTTTAGGGAAAAAAACCCCAAGGAACTGCCAAGGAGTGCTRTGCTCTCACTTCATTAGGTGTGAGTTTGTTTTCAGAGCAATGAGCACAGGATCAACTTCTAACATTGCAGAAGGAAAAAGGTTTCTTTTCAGTACACCTATCTTGGCATTTAAAAGAGGATGGGGGAAAGCAACAGAGGAAACATTTGTGTACTTTCACATGCCAAGAGTCTTACTAACAGAGCCCAAATAGTTCCATAAACTGATGAGGCATTTMATATTAAAATATTTAAATTGGTTATTTACAGTTTTGAAGACTAACTCACATCCTGCAAACTGCCTGGCAAAGTCACGCCAGGTGTTTGAAATGCTAAATACCAATTCCCAGGAAACCTCCTYACTGAGTTAAATAAATCGAATACTGCCACACTGCAACTGCTTTTAAACGCCTCTGGAGAGTGTAACTAGATTCTGAGCAGGGCACAGGGCAGCAAAGTGCTCCGTCTGCAGGCTGAGATGAGCCTTGGCACTTGAGGAAAGGCACCCTCAGGGGAYAATCCTGCAAAGACAGCTTCCTTTRTGCCACACAAATGAGGGCTGGTAAATCTGAGAGCAGTGACAGCCTCGCTAGAGGGCATCCACTTACTGACGTGTGAGTTGAGTGAGGCTTTGATGCTTATTCGCCTCCTCTGTGGCTTTCAATAACGAGGGAAAGTACGCTCACAAACACCATCCAGACTAGACTTGAAATCCGTGGTTGGATAGAGAATTATTTTCTCTGAAAGGAAGAACACAAAGCTTCTCTGACACCCCATGTGCAAARCGCTGTAATTATTAGTCAGTTGTTCAAAGCTAAACCCCCAAACCACACTTTCTGAAACTCCCACTCTGTATCRATAATTGCAGACACTCTCTCAGGAGAGCAGAGAATTCAACTTGCCTTTCACACAGTCCCCCCGAGTGCTCTGACCACTGTGCAGTTCTGTTCTCCCTTTGGGAATACTGCTATCAAATGGAAGCAGGGACAGAGCCAGACTCACTGCAAGATGCTTGTGGTACTTCCCTTAGGACGTGAGAAAGCTGGAATCGTGGCCTCACTTCGAGTCAAGAGGAACAAGGATCTGAGAATTAGACTCTTGTCCCCAAGGTGAGTGTTACCTTTAGGGATGTGGCATAACTCCAGTGGCCTTATGGAACCTAAACCTATAGTTCTTGACCTCTTTGCAGCTCTGGCTGCCACTAATTACTGAACTTGAAATTGCTCACGGCATTTTTTTGCTTGTCTGCATTAGATTTGACAYGAAGAATATTAACAAAGCAAAACTGTCCAAGCTGAGCTGCAAAAGTGCAAGATTCCCTTGTTCTCAAGGCCCCTTTATTTCCCCTGAAAGCTTCTAACTGGTTCTAGCAGTGAATGAGTAGAAAGAACACTCACACATTAAATAAAGCCATAAAAATAAGTTTCCATAGGAAGCMAATGCAACAGCTTAACCTAACCCATTTCCACTATTATTTTGAACCATTCTCTACCCAAAAGCATGGCTTAGTGCAAGTAAACAAACCAGCAAAATTCACACATCCATGCTGTTGTCTGAAATTGCTTCCTAGTATGGTTAATTCACCTCAAGATAGAAAAAACAGAGTTATGCTTTCCTCCAAATTTTTCAGACATCCAAATGAGAAGTACCACAAAAGCTCTAAACATCAAGGAAAAAGTGACCACAACCATGGCRGCTCTGAGTTAGAAACACTAGAAGATATTTCAGTTTTAAAAAGCAACATTTTACCATCCTGTAGAAATGTGGTATCAGATGATCTCAGTTTGCATTTCCATGTTTCCTCTTTAGAGAGCTTAGGGCATAACTGGYCAAAGAAATCCACAGAAACACAGTTCCCACACATCCTTTGAATGTTTTGTTTAAATCTCCATACACTGCAGTCATTGTGAGGGTGAAAAGAATTGCTGCAGAACAGCCCCTTTCAGAAAGGATATAAATGTTTCAAGTTTTTTTGGGCTTTTTTTTTTTTTTTAAATCAGGTTAACTAAATTATTGATGAAGTTATTGATGTTAGTCATAGAAAAACAGGTACCTTTTGCAGAAATAAAAGGAGATTTTTGCCTAGATGAAAAAAAATCATGTCAGTGAAGGTACAGTCCATCTAGAGCAGATAACAGGTGAAAGAGTGCTAAAACTACAGTTATTTTTTTCTAAGCAGAAAATTACCATAGTTGAGACTAGTAATATCTCTTTACATGGCTCTGCTTCAGCTTTCTCCTTACTATTAGGAACCAATAAAGTATTCATCAAAATGGCCGACAGGTGTGAATATTACTTCTGTTTGTACTCTGAAATATATAAATACTTTTTGTCAAATCCTGATAAACTGAGTAACTGTCTGGGTGGAYTAAATGCTTAGGATTATTCTGCAGAAAACAACTTTATTATTGCTTACAGCATTAAAAACGGCAATATTACAAATCCAAGAGAAAATATGAGCTGAAARTGTTTATGTGTCACAATTAAATAAGCTTTTAGAAGGTGGGAGGGAAGAAAAAGGTACTTTTATTCTTCCCAGTACCAACCCAAGATGCAGTAGATAGGATATAATTTGTCGCGAGGGGATTTTTGCGCTGAGATTCAGAATTCTCCCAACTGTCAAACATCCTGCAGTGCCGTGACTCACTGAGGCAAGGTCTAGGATGGTGCAATCCTGACACACTCCTGCCAAGGCTCAGCATCATCTATTCCCACTGTCTGCAGCAGGACTAAGCAGTGCTTTAGCACTTCTGCAAAACTGGGCCTTAGACAATGAAGGCTTTAGGTATGGGCTTCCTATTTCCTGCGGTGGATTTGTGTAGGTGGCCTTGTTACCAGAAATCCATACTCCTACACAGCAACTTCTGACTGTGTTTCTGCAGAAATGACTATGATGAAAGGAATGAAATATTTTGAAAATAAAAATCATRTGTTTGTTTCTCCAAACCAATCGGGTTACCTCCTGCTAGCGAGATCAATTTCTTCACCTCTTGGGTGGCAAAATTAAGAGTGGGGTAGAAAACAAAGGGATTAATATTTGCAAGGGTATGGTGGCTCGGGTTGGTGCACACACAGAGAGGGGAGAGCCTGTGTGAACTGTCCTCTGCCCATTGCTGGCGGCTGAGTCACCAGCTCAGCTTCAGAACTTCTTGCTGCTGCATTTCGCAGCCAGGAAAATCCCACATCCTCCCAGTGGGTGTAGGAAACGCAGCTACAACCTCTGGATGTGTCGGCACCAAACACAAAGGGGAGATTGTGGTGTGGGCGGTGGCTGTGGGCTCAGGGCCCGTGTGCCAGGATCTTGCCGACAGCATCCCATGGAGCTGTGAGCAGCCTGGGCCAGCACTGCCTGCCCACAGCCCCACTGGTTTGCCAAGGCCAACACTGCAAGGAGTGACCAGCTCTACCTCCCCACATGGGGACCTGCCAGGGCCACCAGGAAATGGTCCCTCCTAGCCATTCTCATCCTCTCTCTCTGCTTATTGGCAAGGAGCACATCACACCTTGCCCTTCCTGGCCTTCCCCAGCCCAGGCTGTTTGCCTTCAAGGGGCTAATGGAAGTTTCAGCTCTTGCCATGCTGCTGTGGCCAGCACAGCCCTTGTGGCTCCAGAGAAGGTGCTACTCTCAGCTCCCACCCATCTCACTCCCAGCCATGTTCCATGATTGCA